TAAATACCTATAAACGAAAGTGAAAAAGTGTACACTGCATTTGAAGCTTGCGGAATTTGATATCAGTTTCCTCGCATCCCCTTCGGAGTTACGAACGGCGTGGCGTGTTTCCAAAGAGCCCTAATTAGTTTTATTGACTATAGCATTGGAGACTGGTAGCTCAGGTTGTTCAGATGGCGGTTGAACTGTTCGTTGAGCTTAGCAATTTCCTTGAAAACGTTTCGTCACCAGTCGAGGTGAAATCATCAGTGCGTAGTCGAGTGGCGTACGGTAGCGTAGAGGAGCCTCGGCACTCTTACCGAGGCCCGATTGGTGACGAACCGTTTTCAACAAAATTGCCAAGCTCTGAACAGTTCAATCGTTATGGTTTTATTAAACGCGAACCGCTTTCTAGTACCTTTGTGTATGTTGATAACATTATTCGCGGAGTGAGCCACGAAAAACAGGATGGCAATCTCGAGTGGTTTCTATCTATGGCACAAAAGTATGGTCTGACATTTGACCATGACAAAAGTATCGTCAGAGTGCAGAAAATTACTGTCTTAGGATTCGAAGTATCCAATGGCATACTCAGACCGGACCCCGACCGATTCAGACCATTGCGTGAACTTCCTCCGCCGCACGCTCTGCAGTTTCAACAACGAGTCGTCGGGATGTTGGCCTGTTACTCCCAATGGATGCGTAATTTTCTGCTAGAATTCATTGTAGTGTTTACAACACAACTTTTTCGCTCTCCGAAACTCTTAAGACTTGTAGCAGGGGCTGGAGAAAGCAGCGCTGTTGATGGTCGATTTCGAAATCCCTTTGGTCGTGGAAATGGATGCTTCTGAGATTGCCATTGCAGCAACCTTGAACCAAAGCAGTAGACCGCGTGGCATTTTTCTCTGGATCCTTGTCGATGGGTGAGGCGAGCCATTCGGTAGTCGAAAAAATGGCCTATACCATTGTTGGTATCACTTAAAACGTGGAAGCATTGCCTCATCGGGAACCATTTCAAGCTCGTTGCTGACCAACTTTCTGTTACATTTGTTTATGAAAACAAGCAAATGGGTAAGATCAAGAACGACAAAATTTGCAACAAAATTGCAACCGGAGATAAAATCTTTTGATTACTATCATCGTTATATGGACGATATATTTATAGTGGCAGATAAAGGCATAAATCTGGATGACGTTCTCGATCGTTTTAACCGGGCTCACGTAGCATTGCAATTTACGTACGAGGCAGAAACTTGCAATCGGCTTCCATATCTAGATGTCTTATTAACTAGGAGGCCAGACGGCTCCATCCAGTGAAAAGTCTACAGGAAAAATACGTGGATTGGTCAGTACACGAATTTTTACAGTTTCATCCCACTGAGATATAAGCGAAACTTAATCCACTGCCTTACCACAAGAACACGTAGAATTTGCTCACAGGACACCCTGGATGAAGAACTAGCCTTTATACAGAATACGCTGCGCGAGAATGGCTACCCTGATAGATTTGTTTCAAAGCATTTTGAAGAAAAGTCCAAGCCGGTACCAGTTTTAACCGCGGCGAAGAAGGAGTTATTTTTAAGAATACCTTTTAAGGGGGATGCCGCTGCCGAGCGCCTAACCAAAAGTCTTTCAGCGGTAGTCAAGTCGACATTCCCAGCAGCCAGGTTAAAGTGCATATTTTCTACTGAACCATTTGTTTTTTCACGCAATAAGGATACGCTGCCATTGCTGACCTCATCTATGGTTATTTATCAGTTCAAGTGCGTTTGTGACGCTACTTATATTGGTCGAACGGCACGGCACTTGTCCAAACGCGTGAAGGAGCACTGGCCGCGCTGGTTGCGTCAAGGAGGAACTGGGGCCATTAGCAGCGCCGTTTTGGCACATATTGTCGACACGGGGCACCAAGTCGACCTAAAGCGTGCCTTCAGGATAATTTACAACGTCCCCCAGCATCAATCAAGAGGTTTGCGCCTCCGTGCACTCGCGACAGCTGAATCGATTTGCATTCGGTTGTTTCAACCTTCATTATGCTCGCAAAAGAAGTTACTCCATGCCTTACAGCTTCCCTGGCCAGCTAGAACGACCGATACTGAGGTCGATTGCCACAAATCAAGCTCGATAACATGCAATCGACCTGTCAGATCAATGGTCAACTTTTAGCCTCCCTCACTGATCTGTTAATTAACTATGTAACTTGACCCAATGAGTCGATTTCAGTTCATTATTTTACCCTTAGGTATGATTGTAATGGTCTGAAGAGAATCCTCGAAAACAATTGTTCACCTATGGTCTCGTGTTCTTTTGAACGACAAAATTATGAGATGGCGTATGAAATTGCCCTGTTACCTATCGTCCAGGGAAAAACAACTTCGCAACGGACCAGTTTTGCTGCTTCTATGACGTCCGCTGATTTAGACAAACTGCATGACCAATTGTGCCACCCTGAGTTAAGCGGCCGTACCACTTCGGGCGTTTCAAAAATCTTCCATTTTCCGTTGAACATGTCAAGTCTGTCATCCCAAGGTGCAAGTCGTGCGCCGAATTAAAACCCCGTTCTTACCACTGAATGCCAAACTAATTAAAGCCACAACTCCATTTGCGAGACATAGCATATATTTTTAAGGTCCCATTCCGTCCACGTCATCCAACCGATTCTTGTTAACAATAATTGATGAGTATTCTCGATTTCCATTCGCATTCTCTTGTCTATTTCTGTCCTCACATACAGTTATTCACCGTTTGGCTCATGTGTTTTCGCTGTTCGAAATTCCGTCGGATATTCACTTCGATCGGAAGGCCTCATTTATATCGGACGAATTGAAAACATTCCTTCATAGTAAAGGCATAGCCACCAGCCGGTCGACAGCGTACCATCCGCAAGGCAATGGTCAAATAGAGCGTCTCAACTCAACCCTGTGGCGGGCAATCATTTTAAATTTGAACTTCAAAGGTCTACCAAGCACCTAATGGGAAACAGTACTTCTAGGTGCACTCCATTCTGTCCGATCGTTGTTATGCACCGCCACCAATGCCACTCCACACGAACGGATGTTTTCATTTAATTGCAGGTCAACCACTGGTACTTCGTTGCCAAACTGGTTGCTGTCCTCGGGTCCGGTACTTGTGAAAAAGTATCACAGAGCCTCGAAGTACTCTCCTGTTATGAAGGAGGTAATGCTACTACAGTACAATCCGTTTTATGCCCATGTGCGCTTACCTTCCGGACGTGAGGAAACAGTCTCGTTGCCGCATTCGGCTCCTCGTGGGGATCAAATGTATGTTCCCAATGACATTCATGACAGAACCAAATCTGTAAACGAATCTGTAGAGCCAATCAGTGTAAGCCCATCGGAGTCTTTCGGGCCATCTACATCTTCAACTCATCTATTGAACCCACTCACACTCACGAACAAACTGATAGCCATAGTATTCTATAGCACAACGCGCAGCAACGCTCGTACAAACAACAACCTGTACATGTCTATGAATGGCGTAGCTATGATGCGTAACACACTGTATTGTTTGTGCACCACCATCGTTTTCACGTCGGGGAGAATGTTATGACTTGGATCATAGTTTATCAACTAAACTGAACTGAGGTCAAACGGACTGCACACAAACGGTTATTCATAGGAATCCAATCAACCAACAATAACAGTCTTGGAGCTAAGAGCAATGTCCACTGCAGTCTGGTCAGTGATCGTCCCAATAACGAGAGGACAAACCGGGAACTGTTAGTGAAGGTCATTGATCATAGGTTCAGACACACAACACTCGTCAATACCCAGCGTGTCTAACGTGTACGAGCGCAGCCTGTTGACCTATTTGTCTTAGAGTGCGAACGTCGAACGCAGCCAGGGAAACGGGTCAGTGTGGCCTTATAAGGAGCTTTTGGCGATTGGTGTTCAATGAGTGGTGTGGGAAAATAGCTGCAGATGATATGACTCCAGTGGCACTGCGGTTACTGTCCATTAAACTAGGAATTGTAGGTGAAGGCTAGTAGTGGGGGATTTGAAAGAGAGTAAGAGAAACAGTTGGAAAGTAAAGAAGGGAGGCGCCAGCAGTAGCATGTTTCCGCTTAGTCACCCTGCTGTATGTGGTAGATAAGGCTACCCTTGATAAGCTGCGCGATGGCCGATGCACGATATAGTTGAAATTTCAAGAAATACTCATGATTGTACGTGAGCTGAGATACTGCCAGGACGCCCAAACGTAGAGAGGAGAACGATTAGGGTCCTCATCCAAAGCCTTTGGCTCAAATGCCTGTCGGCAAGACAGAATGGAAGTGGCACTGATTTTGTTTTACAGAAATGGAGACCAGCCCTTTTTATACTCCCAATATGGAGGGCCATGAGACTGAGTTCGTCCAACCTATAACTATTGATCAACTTGGTGGGAGTAGCTCTTAAGAAGCCGAAGGGCCCCACCTAGTATAGTCCATTGGGTCGACGTGGTATGTTAAACTCTAGTCTTGTTGCGACAACATTAAACTCCAGTGTCGTTGCGACGGTGGCGTCTCTCTGTATGCGTTGATTTCAACTCGCTACTGCTCTTAATCACTAATTGCCTCTAAATTTTAAATTACCGGTTTGCTACTCCCGAGTTCGCTAAGTTGTGGCTATTTGTCACTACAATTTGAAACCCGTAACTCTCACCTCACGGTTTTTTCTGCACCTGATTTACGCTAACATTCTTCTAAAACCACAGCGTGCATTGTTATTTTGGTATCATGAGACCTTTTACTCTATCTCGACTGATTACGTATCTCCAATCACTCCGTCTCATCTCACGTCTATCCCATTATACTCAATTTGTTGGTCCCTCTTTTTAACACTTACTTTTGTCCATCTCGCTACTTCTAATTACACGACTTACATCACTACAATTCTCATGATATTGCTTGAACTGATTATTTTAGGTCCCTACTTGGCCTTCTCTTGGTTCTTCTTAGAACCTCACCGTTACCTTTCCTGCAAAATCCTTGTGTTTATGATCCATTTAAGAAAAGTGTCGCAATGCCACTTGTCCCCTTTATCGCTGTTCGACTCGCTTTCCCACTACGATGCATTAGTTTTCTTCGTAAAATTAAGTCTCAACATGGGCCCTCCTACTATATACTACCTGAGCTTCCACCAAGCAACCAAAACGCGTCCTCTGCTTTCGGGTTAAATGAACTTCCCAGGTTTGTTAAGTCCCTTTAGTAACGCGTAATACTTTTAGTCCGACCTCAGTGACACCTGGAGGTGCTTTCAATGACTTTTCTCGACTACTTGTCGAGTACCAGTTGTCACTGTCACGACTCTCGGAGTCGCTCAAAAAAGGCGACTTTCCTTCGAGTTTCTCTATTCTACATGCGCTGGAGGAGATATTCTACCCAGTTGAACACGCATTCCAGATACTGCAATCTATACCATCTTATAACGCGGATCCCGTATGGTTGGTTATACTGGGCCGGCTTTTCCGGAAGTGGAAAAATTGTCGAGCAGACTGCTTCTGTTTGGATCCTCAAATTTATCGCGCTCTGTTGACTTCGCTTTCTTCACAAGATTTAACACGATCAGAAAAAGGTATTTTTTCAGTTTTCATCTATTTTTGTTTTTCGTTGCCGTCACCTTGCAGAAATTTTGAAGCAACACTCGCTACTGTATGCACATAACTTTTGAAAATAGTTATTACCGTATGTGGGTGTTTGATGGAAACTGGGCACGCGCATAGGTCGACCACCCCATACATTCGCCGCCTGTTCATTTTAAGCGCATCAAGTTCTCAAGAGTGATCTTTGTAACAGGGCTGTCGAAAGATTAGAGGGCCGTCTGCTTTGCTGGACATATGGAAATTTAAGTACCTTGGCAGCATTATTAGCGCGTGTGGGACAAAAGATGAGGTCACTTCCCGTATAGCGAAAGTTCAAGATGTGTTTGTTTAACTTTCCCATATATGGCGTTGGCGCATTTTCCTCCTCTCCCGGACGGGTAGAGTTAATAACGTAGCCATCCTTTCAACCCTCCTGCACGGTTGCGAAGCCTGACTCGTCAGTTGGATACACAAAGCTAATCACCTTATACCTTTAGTGCTTTTGCAATTTAATTCAAATCTAGTGGGAACACCGCGTGAGCAAGGAGCGTGTTCGGCATCGTGTATTTGTGCAGGAAGAGACTGTGAATCGCTCAGCATAATCATTTGACGCACCAGGCTCCGATGTCTAGATCATGAGTTACGCATGTCAGCACACCGACTCCTGTGACGCGTTTTTTTGCAACCGAGTACTGGATTGAAGAAGAGAAGGGGAGGTTCACCGATGACTTGGTCGAAGGTGGCCTCGGTTAGAGCCTGTCATATTTTAGTTACGGTCCGAAGGACGATGGACACATTGGCGATGCTTATTGACATAGTTAGGAGCCAACTTCAATGGCGTTTGTGTCGTGAGCTTTTTTATCCCTCCCCCTTCCACCTAGTCTCCGTGTACAACCACAGTTTTACTCCTGATGCATAAAATGACACAAAGAATACTATCTCTTGTCTTTATTTTGTGTTATGTGATCTTTAGTATCTCGTCTGTATCGCACACAATAGCTGGGATATTTCTCACCCCCAGCTGATGTGCAGGATGAATGTATGTATATATGAATAAATGAATAGCTTAATCGGATGATCTGTTCTCCAATACCCTTTCTTACTCTTACTTAGCATCAGATGTATTTTTCTGAGTTAACCAGAGACAGACCGTCACTTACTTTGTAACTAGCGCTAACTAGGCGCTTATCTCATCGTTCTGATCAAGTGCCGTAGTTCACTTACTCATCATTCGCATTCCCGGTCAGGTTCACTAACAATAAACCATGTTCTTTTCTTTTTTTCCTAGAGATCTATCTTTACTGTTTCCGAGATGCTCGTGGTTCAGTTTCGTTAAGTGTTATTGACCTGGGTACCGAAGTGTAGGGAATTTTTTCACTATTACTTAACAGTGACGTGCATTGCTGGGCAAAATTCAAATTACAACCGAAGGTGAGAGACCAAAAGAGGTGATTGAAATTAATCTGCTTAGCTTTAGGAATCTGAATGCAAAAGTCCAGACGCTAGAGCGTCATGCACTTTAATGTCTCCATCTGCTACTGTGGCCGGCCATGGTGACGCCATCAATGGGGCATGCAAAAGCCAAACCTAGTCTCTCAATTAGCCCCTTCCTACATGCTTACCACCTCGTCTACCGATCATCCTGAGGTTTCGTTCAACAAGGTACATCAACAGCAAACATTGAATACTAAGGTAATCAGTCAACGGAAATACGAATAATACCAGCTATTCAAGTTTGGCGAAGACAGTCCAGTGCAACATCAGAAGTCTTTTTTTCGCATAGTAGTTGACGTACTGCGGGGCCCATCCGGTGCCTCCAGACATGGACATTATTCCGGCACTAATGATCTGACCATTTCTATTTTAATGGATCACTGAAGGTAGCCAGGCGCACACTTTTTGTTTCCTTTTTAACACACGGCTGAAACCCAGATTATGCAAACAGGCAGATTTCGTAATTAGCCTCCCCGACCCTATCGAGGTCCGTGTTCAGTTTCTTCCAACTGGACTGCACGTTAAACTAATGATCTTTGACCGCTACAACCCTTTACCAATGATCTGCACGTTGATTACTCTCTGCATGCAACTTCCCCAAGACAGTTATTGTTGCAGAGCTCATCCCCCACTGATGCGTTTATTCGACAATGTTGACCCGGCGACAACTAGAGCATGTTTGCTACACCGAGTTCCTTGATATCGGTTGTCTGTTCACCTTCCACCTTTGAATCCGCGTAGAGGGGGCATCTTCTCGGTATACTTAGCCCCGCTTGCGGCTGATGGTGGTCGCGCGGCAGCAGAGCGCCATTACGGCGTACAGCTGACACATTATTATTATTATTATTATTATTATTATTATTATTATTATTATTATTATTATTATTATTGTTTCACAAGCGACGACGTTTGTTAGCCGATGATGCTCCTCCTTTGACACTGTTAAGCAAACGGTGTGGAACCCACACGACCATCGACTAATGCGTGTCGAGCGATCGAATCAGTCGTGTCTATCTCCCATTGGTTGTCTGGTTCGCTCCTTTGATCTATCCGTTCACTGTGATAAGACACTCCCATCAGTTATAAAATGTCACCCACTTTTTAGCTGCGCTTTTCTGTCAAACATAAAACGCAAGCCCAGCAAAAACATTGGCAGGTCATCATTAAGCCCAATGAAAGATGGCCATGTATCAAGTTCTTCGTTGCGAAGTGACCGCGTTATTAATCCATACAGTAATAGCATCCTTCCCTTGACCGTTGACCGATACGCCGCTGTCTTCTTATATGATTTATGCTTCGAAAAAGCACATTGGCTTTACTAGTTCATGCCACAACCACAGGGTTTTGACCTCAAGCGTTGATACAATTACATAGATGTATGGATCGGCCTACAGATTCAGGTATCCTTTCGGTGTCAGCTGGTGGCCATGTGTTGGCCCAGTTCTGCAAAACTACTCTTCACCTTGAAGATGTGCATGGCATGCCTAAGCGCGCAACACTACATCAATTTGTACAGTGAAGCCTTTAGTTTTGGTGCGACTTAAAACTACATATTTCGTCTACGTTCCCTAGTTTGTCATCCGACCAATTGGCTCAACTACCACCTCAGAAAAGGCTAAGAAGACCGAGTCACCCGCGCTCATGCCCATCACCAGTGTGAAGTGGTGGGGAGACATAGCTGTCAAATAGCCCTCTGGGAATCAAAAGTCTGGGCGGTGGTCAGAAAATCACTTTTACGAAAATTCGAGGTTATTTATAGAGTAAGTAAACTGACTACTCTGTTGTGGCCCGTTTCATTGACTGACTCTTGTTAATTAGCGTGTATCATTGGCTACATTCCATAAGTTCGTGCTGGTTCTCCAAACGGGCCGATACACGCCTATGTCTAGTGTTACACTGAGTCTCGCTTCTGCCACCCCGAATGTACCTCACGATCGGCTCTCACGAGTGGCTTTTGATTAGCCATCCGTCCACCTGTTTGGTCCCTCTTCAGCCGACCGGCTGCCACAGCGGACAGCTTTGTTAACTTGGACTTCAGATGAATGCCGTCTGATCGCCGTTTGGCGGACCATTCCGCTTCTCAGCTGTCCGAGGGCACACTGTTTCTCCTTTGCGCTTGGCCGGATCCGTCGTATGCGTTCATCTCTCGTGAGTGACGTCTACTTAGTTCCCGGTTTATCGGTACCGCAACAATTCCATTCGTCCCGGGTCTTAACCACCATCACAACTCCGGTGTGCCAAGTCGGGTTTGGAATGCACCAGTAATTGCTTCCCGTATGCCGTCACCCCACCCTGCGATTAACGGTTAGGCGATCCGAGAATGGAAAGCAGTTCTCATGACATACCCTTCACGTATTGGCAGTTCAGCAACCTGGCGCATTTGGAGTGTGTAGTCTGGGTGCATGTCTCCGTTACAAACTTGAGAGGGCTCGATCATGCGGTCTATGCATCATCGAACATGTCAGATGTGAGCCTGGCTTTCACTGAGTCGATTCTCGCGAGAGCCCACAATCCTTCGCAGAATGAGTTCTGAGGGGTTTCTGGATTGTTACACAAGGCTAATACCTCTTCAAACTTTGGATACAGCTCTGCAACCATTTTTAAATATGAGATGGCGATTGACTATCAACAATGTGAAAGGTCATCAGATTCCTGGAATTTATTACTCTTCGGCAGTGGAAATCACTTTAAAGCTTTTGTAAAGTGTACAACTTGGCATCAGTGTGGTACAAACCATATGGTCTCGGACGTTTCGATGTCCTGCAATTACCACGCCACTATGTGGCACAGTGGGTTTGACCTCATGTGGTCACACTACTGTATGCCGCTTGCTTCAGCTAATTCTTTGGTTTCGAATCTTATTTGTCGCGGAAGAGTCTTGTGATCAGTAGCACTTATTCACTCGTTCTGTTTGTGAAATTTGCTTGTTTTCTCATTCAGCGATCTTTCCGTTGTTTCCACGCTTTCATTTCAATGTTCTTTTCCTTACCGCGACTGTCCAAATAACGATATTGCAGCTCGCGCATTGTGAACCGAGTTAAATCTGCTCGCAGCCCTGAGGTTCGCTCACGCTTTCGCTCAGTACACCGGAGTGCTACTCTGAGGAACTTCTTCTTTGACATCCAGGCAAGTCTTGGGTGCCCGAAAGTATCAGGTCCACTAGCAGTGACCTGTAAATAGGTGGCTATTATCTTCAGCAGTATGTATACCATGTTTCCATCTCACGTTCAGTACAATATTTAGGTTGTGTGGACAATTTGGTCACACTGTTTGTGGCGACTCAGATAATCTCGCATTTTTCAACATCAAAGTACAGTGTTGCTGCAAAACCACCAGCTACTTGTTCCTCTATTGAATCTTGACGACAAGGTAGTTTCCAAACTCACCCATCTTAGTAACTGTGTTAGCAGCGATATTTGTTTATGTATTAAGATTTGTTCACGTTTTACAGAAGTGCATTCTTGAACGTACAGCATCTTTGGCGCCATAAATATATTTTCTTTGTGTTTAAAGGCCGCTTACCCAAGATCACAGTAGTTTTCGTTCCCAACTTTGGGGTTGCAACTTGGCCGCTACGTTTGAGGATCTCCAGCCTTTCTTCTTTTATCTATGTTGCCTGCGAAGCGTTACTGTTGTCGGTTAAACCAGCTTGTCCGCAATTATTGTGTGCGTGTAAAAGCGCTAGGCTGTTAGTTAACTGTATAGAACAGATATAGATAAATACATTGTGTATATCTGCTTACCGTTTACCAGTGAAAACCTTGTTTTGTTTGCCAGATGTGGGATGGCGCTAGGCTCTAGAGGGGCGCATGTTAATTTGGCAGCGGGTAATGAAGTCACTGATGACTTAAATGAGTGATCTTAATCTATCTTGCTTTTCAGCCTGGAATTCAAACCGTCTAACTTTCACGGAACTTTGTACTTTGCAGCAGGTGGCTCGCAGTTGGCACCAGTTGCACACTTATTGTCGTCTCCCAGTCAGGTTTCCTTATTAAATTGTTTGACGCCTGAATATCTGCGGAGTAAGGCTGATCACCGCGCGGGACAGTGAAAACCTTAATCATGCGTTCTCATCGATACCACCTGACCTTCGTACGACATCCAGCTTTTTGTGACCTTATATTTTGATATGGTGTTAGCGTTTAGTTAGGGTGTTTAGATTTTACACTAATCCCCTTCTCCCCATTCGTCATTCCCTCGGTTGGTTCAACTTACTTCTGTACGACTGCTGATGGTTCCCTTTGAATTGTCCATTTTCTGTAGGACTACTCTTGACTTTAATCAATGACTGCTGGGAACATGGAGCTGATATATCCCTTGAGGCTTCGGGCACACATAATCCTCAAAATTCTCCTACTTCAAACAATTTGCAATCAACAACTCAGATCTCACAAGCCCAGGAAAAGTTAGACCGCCTTCGAGACGTTAGATCTTCACTTGAGGAGGAGGAGCGACTCTTTCAATCCATGGTCGTGGCATGCTCCTCAGTGATAGGTGCACCTCAGGCTCCATATAGTGGCCGCTTGCCCGACCCGTCAGAAATCGATTTTCTTATAGGATCGCCATACTTTCCTGTCGCTGAATCCGACTTGGCACCGTCTGCTCCAGATTGGTTACCAGATGCGCTCGGCGGGAGACAAAATGGTGGTCACGTGGCTGACATGAGGTTGAACATTGCATCTGATTTCGCTGTCCAAACTCTGCTTCAGCATTGCAGCACGCGACAGGTACGCTTGGTCGCATATCTGCAGTTTTCCCGCATCATGAACATGCACTTGAATGATATGCTTACCTGTAATGCTGTTTTTTTGTTGTTGTTCGGTAGTGCGTCCAGTTCCCGCTTATTACAGGTGTTTCACAGCATCTGTCCAAGCCTTGTGGACGGGCACGTTACACCGTCAATGTAACAGCTGCAAGTCCGTTCGCTTGACTTTTCACTAGTTGCCGTCCAACGCAGTCCTGCTTTTGATTGCGATTCTATTTAGATGCATAAGAGTATACAGTTGATTGCTCTAGACGCGAAGTTATGCTGGCCCACTTACTCCTACCGTCGGTACTTCGCCAGGGCATAGTCGAGACGCTCCCAACGGATATTTTCATCTTTTTAACTAAGCGTCGCCGAATTTCTTCGAAGCTGGATTCTGTCAAACAGTTACTATTTCAGAACTGCACTAAACCAAAGTGAATGACCTTATTGTAGTTCGTATTTTTCGCGAATTCTCATCGAAACTTGTCGATCCAGCTTGTGTTGGCAGATTTGACTCGCCCCACATTTCAACTTTTCCCTATTCTTTTCCTCTTTATTTTCGAATTCTAGGCGGCCTATTGTGCATCCGTGCGTGCATTTCAACTTGTGCATTTAATTGCTGCTACTCTTACTCTTTAACAAACACGATTTGCTTCACTACGCGTCAATCAGAAAAACTCTCATGGCACAGCTAGTGTTCCTCGACACTACTTGGCGCCACGGTTATTTTCAGCGCGTGGCGAAGCCCCTATACTCACGGTGACGTGGCGGTGTCTTTGTTACCTTTGTTGTTTCGTGAGTTCTGAGTTGAGACTGATGTGTCTTCACAATCGCGGCCTCCCCTCGCTTACTTAGGTCTGTGTCCTTGTTTTACTTGTCTTCTAAAAGTGCGTTCTTGTTTTAGACTGTTCCTTACGTTAATCATCAACATGTGTCTGCTTTAGTCCACAGGTGCCCGCTTCCAGACTAACTTCGGTCCGCATACGCCTTTCTCTCTTTGATTTTCTCACATGAGATTAATTCGTAATTGAACTGGTAAACACTATGCTACGGCGCCTGTTTGTCACTTGGAACGAACTGACGTTGTTCTACGCTGTACCTCAGGTGTATGCACATAAGTGAATCACTTATGCGCATTGGAGTATGTCTCGTTTTCCCTCCATTGCATTTGAACTTCCTGGTTAATTCATAGCATAGTTCTGTGGTTTACAAGGCTCTTGAATTGGTTTCTTGTTCCACTCTTAGTTTGTCTTGTCATCATTTTATTTTATACAACAGCTGAACGCCACCGACCCACACGTTGCTGTGTACCTGAATCGTGGTATACACCATCAGTTGTAATCGAATCAGGGATGCTTCTCGCGGACTCACATGTATAGCCATGGGAATCGCTGCAAGGCGATGTCCGGATAACACTGGGTTTCTCCGAAGCGCTTCTTTGTGATAATGCAGCACCACACCCAAGTGCGGTCTAAATCAAGTTGACGGAATTACTTGATAGGCCGTTCGAGTGTGGTGCACTGCCGAAACATTAAGCTACTTTGCTGGTGGAAAGCTTGAGACAAACATATGGTTGGGTGACGAAGTCGCAGAATCTGTTGCGTCCAATTGGATTCCGGTTTTATCGCCACTTTCATATGAAGATGGTTGTTGGGGCGTAATGAAGGAACCATGTTGTGTTTCGAAAACGTCATCACCCTGAAAATATAATAATAGTAACAATAATAATAATACGTATATTTCCCGATTGTACGGGAATCTGTCCCTGGATTATGGACAGATCATGGGTACCATAATAATCATGCTCGTGCATGAGCGTGATATGTATTCTGGGATGTATGATATCAAAATGATTTGGAATCACAACTTTTGTTCTTGCTGTTTTTTGTACCATCTTTAATCATTGATTATCTGTTCCTTCCTCCATCCTGGAAGAATTCGTGTGGCGATTTGCCCGATGGAAACATAGTCATTATCGACTTATGGTCTAGGAATTTATTAAGCTATATGTGGAATATTTTTGCATTTGTGCAAGACCTGATGGTGGCTGGTAGGATTTTCCAAACGACAGCGAATCTAACGAGGAAGAAGTTTGATCAGATAGCCGTCCTGGTTCTCGGCACACATAATCTACAGGTCTTGTTGCGTATATTCCAAGTGAACTTAGGTTGCAATTTTAGTGTACACAGATTGGAGTATGTCTTTTGATTAATGAGATTGTGTATCAGCCTCAGGTTATGTTTCAGTCGTCGCAACCAAACGAGTTCGAGCGTAAGCTGCTGACAGCGCTCCTGATAACTCAAGGTGGTTTATTTACTGAACAAGCGCTTAGTGAATGATCTTTGCAGGTTTACCAAAGCTTTCCTCTCACCCATACGCATGTTGCCATAGATTTTGCTGCAGTATTCAAGGACAGGAAGTGTAAGTATTTTGAAAAGCTCAAGTCTGGCAGGGGTTGTATAGGTTTTATGGCATATGTTAGCCACAGATCGTTTGACATGTGCTATTTGATACTCAGCTTGCTCTGCGAAATTAAACTTTGAAGAGTATTGGATGCCTAGATCACAGTTGGATAGTTTCACACAGATACGTTCATTGTTCATTTTAACAGACTCTTCAGGGATTAAATATCCTTGTGACATAATCCATTATTTACTAGCTGATAAATTTAGCATCCATGTGTTGCACCACTTCCCAAGTGAATCGAGGTCTTCTTGAACGAGCAGCATTGCGCTATTGAATTCTCTCGTCGAAATTTGTGAGCATTCTTTATGTCATCGGAGAACAAAAATGGCGTGCCATGTTTTATGAACACCGTGATATCGTCAATATATAGTACTAAAAGGAGACTACCAAGTACACTCCCTTGGATGACACCCTTTAGTAATTGGACCTGAGGAGGAGTTGTGATTACCCAGAGTGACTATCTGGTAACGCCCATTTAGGTATGATATCAACCAACCAACTAGTGGGTTTCTGATTCCAAACCACTCGATTCTTTTCAGTAACCGCTTGTGGGGCACTCTGTCGAATGCTTTCTGCATATCCAGGAACAGTATTATAACTACATATTTCCAATCAGTGCTTTCTGTGATGTAATCCAGGTAGTGCAACTAACACGTTGTACAGAAACGTTTGTCGAGGAACCCATGCTGGGATTTGTTAATTAGCCCATGATGATGGATAAAGTCCATGATTCCACTTTTAACTAATTTTCCGAGTAATCTAGTGATGACGGGAGCATGATGGATAGGTCAATAATTAGTGACGTGCTGTTTGGGCCCCCCTTTATGACTAGGGATAATAAACGATCTTTTCCACTGATCCAGAAATTAGCTAGGTTCTAAAGACAAGGTGAACCTGTTCAGCAAGAGCACTGGTATGTCAGATCCACCAAGTTTAATAACTGATGGAGGAATGACATCGGAGTCTGGTTTGAGCGATGGTTTGATGGACTTCATAGCCTGTTGGATGGTCGAAAGAGAAATCTCGACACTATCTATGCCGCTTGTTGTAAGTTCCGGACAGCAAGGTATAGGCTTGGTTTCTACGTTCCTGGAAGCAACGAAAAAGGTGCTAAATGTTTTACAAATAGCAGGTGGGTCGTTAAGGTGGCGACCCTCCTCATCAATAAGTTCTGTAATCATTGACATTCGATTGTTAGTCCTATGACCGAGTAATTTGGCCAGTTCCTTTCCTTTGCATGTCATCTGCAAGGCGTTCTCCTCCTTCTTTTTAATCCCTTACATTTGTGAACTCTTGATACAGGCGCTGGATTCGTGTAGCTGTAATCCGAGTTAGAAGTCTAGTTTTTCTGAATTTCCTGTGTAGTTTTCTCATTTTCAAGTCACTCAGAGTCTCGCTTACATTCCTAGGACAAGGAATGACACGTTTATAACATGGGAAAAATACAGTTAGGATGTGATTGATCTGGTATTAGAAATGTTCCACTGTAATATGGGCGCTATCGGAAAAAACATCCCAATTAGAGGACCGGATCTACTTTCCGAAATGCTCTCAGTCAATCCTTCGTATAGTATGCTGGGTATGTGAGTGGATGGAAAGGCGTCGCATCTTGTGGTCACTTACCGTGTGGTTGCCTAAGATGTCCATTTGTGTGTCATGGATCCCCCAGGGTGAAGATTAAATACAGTATGTCGGCAGACCTAGTTGGTCTGGTAACCCACTGAGTCCAACTCCAAACTCAGGTAGTCGATAAGGAAGATCTGTACAATGATGAGGATGTTTGTGCTGAGCAAGTAATATTCGGTAGATTGAAATCACCAGCGATTATCTTTAGCACGTGTGGTAACACCGATGCGAAATCGAAACCCGTGAAGATTATTGTGATATCTTTGGCTGTCACTTTCGGAGAGTTGTAGATGCAACCGAGAGGTATTCTAGCGGAGGCTGCAGCGACTGATAGCCATAGAGATTCTGGGACCTTGTTTAACTGTGGGTCATCAATGAACTCCACTCTGAAGTTCCGATGGATATATACGATGCACCCGCCGCCTTTCTTTGTGCTGCAATCTTTTCGTAATAGATAGTAGTTAAGAATATCGAAGGTAGCACCATGTTTCGGTGACGAAGATTACATGTGGGGTGCTCAGCTGAGTAAGCATGCTTACAAAATGCAATTTGTTTTTTATGGATCTTGCGTTGATTAGTATAAGTGAAAATGTAGTGTGCACAAAAACGTTTCCTGTGGGTACTTCAAAGGACTGGGAATCAGAAATGACAGGTAAAGAAGTTAAATAAGGGTTGGTGAAAACAAACCCATCGGTAGAATGCTCGGGTGTAAGGGCATTATTCACGCTAGTAAGACCGGGTGGGCGGAAAAGATTGATTTCCCGAGGCAAGGTTGGGCTTTATCTGATATTGAGCTAACCGTGACATGTGGATGAACTGCCAGAAAAGTGGAACAAGATAGGCGGTCTCTGCTGGGTGTTTCAGTGGTACGAATAGATGTGTAGCCAT